TACACCTGATGACTAGCTTCCCTAATGAAACCCCAGAACATATAAACCCACTAGATTTTCAGGTTAAAAAAGAGAGAAACCTTCAACTGCAGAAGTGTCATAGCCATAGTTAAACACCTTTGACCTATTTTGGTTTAGTAATCATGCTCTGCTGTAACTAGGACTCGACCCTGATCAAAACGGTTTTAACTGTAGTCTCCGGCTCTGGTTCTTCGGTCTACTTCATGGCCCTCTAGGACTTTTAGCGTCTCTGACCACTGCTCTTTAAGACTTCAACTTCCTGAATCAAGGGCTCCCAACCCCATTTCGCAGTTCTGACCCATATACCATTAGCTCAACTATTCTTCCTCTTTGATTTCCAAGTACACAGGTCAATGGTAGGGGACACTGTTTTCATCTTCATGTGTCTTAGCCAAAATTTTACATATATATACACATACACACACACACACACACATATACATATATATATACACACACACACATATATACATATATATGAATGTGTATGTATGTGTATGGAAAAATATTAGTAGCAATTATTTTGTTTGAAAAAATATAAGGTTGGCTAAAAAATTAACCTTAGCAGTCTGCTCCATGACTTGGCAGTTAAGGCAGCCCAATTTCCCATGGCTGACCATACAGTTTGAGTACTGGACCTGGCAGCTTGAAAAACATGCCAGGCACATGTACATGAGTGCCCGGAATTGACTCCTTTTCAAGATTCTGGACACGCATGCACACATGCCCAGTGTGATTTGAGTCCAGGACTCAAACTGTGGGTTGGTCATGTGGGAGTCTAGCACCTTAACCTCTTGCTGGCCCCATCCTCTAGACTTTTCATTAGAAAAAATAAAATCTTATATGAACAGCCTCTGTTGATTTTTGTTTTTTATTGCATGGAGGCAAACCTAATCCTACAATATCTTAATGTGAAAAATCACTTTGATGCAAAGATGTTCATAACCTGACATAAGGGCAGGAAATTCATAAAAGCACTTCCACGTGTTTAAAAGTCTTTTGGACTTCTTAAAAAGTCTTTTTAAAAGTCTTTTTTTGACTTTTAAACTTTATACATATATATATATAAAGTTCGTGATATATCACAAACTGGAGATGGGCAATTTGGTGCTAAATTAACACAGCACAAACTCACAAGATAATTACTCACAGGATAAAATTTTCATTTTATTTGCATAATAAAATCTAGTTAGAGTCAAATAATAATATAAAAGAGTGCCTAAAGTATACAGGAAGCTCATTACCATTCTTATTCCCTCTCGTCAGTCTCAATTTCTAATCTTTCAGAATGAACTCTTCCCATGTGTTCTGCATTTAAGAACACTCAGTAGACACACATAACCTGGGTTACTAGTACTGAAAGCAAGGAGTCACTTGTGACTTCCCTTCAAGATACACTCT